GAATAACATATATCTCCCTTAGGATGATGCTATAAAATCTGATATCTGAGAATCGCTGTTCAATAAATTTTCAAAGAAGCGAGAAATATCCTTTAGTGGTGCATATGCAGATATGCTGGCAGATCACAGGAGAGTTTAGGACTATTTACAGCAGCTGAAAATCTCTCTTGCTAAATGTTGTTGTCGTTTCATAATCAAGTGAATAGCAAAGAGCAGTCTGTAAATTTATGTGCAAACTCCCATCTGTGCCAGAAGAAGAAGAAGAAGCAAGTAATTTCAGAGATGCAAATAAAGCTGCCACGCAGCACCTGAACTATATAAAAATACTGGCCATTGATACAGGAGTGGAAGATTTTGGGGTTTTGCACTGAACATATAGAAGCATTCAGTAAAATATATCCCTGTGTTGTAAATGCAGATATATCCCTTGCTTTGTCAGGAAGATTGTGAAGACTACTAATAGTGGTGTTTACAGCATTAGCTGAGGAATCTAAGAGGTTTCTCTGTTAAATTCCATTTTCTGCTAAGGGCTTAGCAAGATCACTTAGTCTTTCTGTACCCTATTTTTTCATGTTACAACTGCTGGTAACAATATAACATCATGGATGTCAATAGGTTGTAATATATGGGATTGGACTAGGAATTTATTTTCTATTTTGCTACAGCTAATATATTTTCTTTGCCAAACATTTATTACTCTAGCTGCCAGAATAGGTGTCATTAGGAATAGAAATTTACTGCACAAGGCAGCTTAGCTTTTGAAAATGCCACAAATAATGAAGTATTTATGCTAAGTGGAAGAAAAAAAAAGATACCTCAATTCTGGTGGCCTTCATGCCATGTAGACACCTCACTGCATGTTAGGCAGTATATTACAGCTTGGTGAAGTCAGTATTTTAATTTCAAACCATTTTTGAGCCATGAATTTGAATGCTGCTGTGAAATGCCTGTCTCATGTTTTACGGTGATGTGGCTGCCTAAAAATGATTAAGAAGCACCCAAGCACAAAAATAAAACCTGTTAGGTTCTGTCCAAATTGCTGCTGGGAATAGTCTAGTGTAATGATCACTTCTGAGGTCTGGAATAACATCAGGGAAGCAAGCCTCACATATTCCTAAATATTCGTGATAGCCATCTTCTTCTAAATGTTTGCACCTCCTGCTTCACTTCTCAGGACTTTATTTTCTATAAGCATGAGGCTTTCACCAAGCCTTTCATGGCAGTACTTGGCATTTGAATAACACTTTTCACTTTCAAGATATTAAACAGTTTTCCTTTAATTAAAGCAAGAACTAAGAACTGAGAAAAAAGTTAAAGGGTTAATGGAACTTTGGTGCATATACCTTATGCTTTTGATAATCACACCAATTCCTGTTGCTGTTTTCCTAATAAGGGAATTAAGCTGACCAAATCATTATTTCACCACATCTTTTAAATGGTTAGTAAAGTAGCAAGCTCTGTTCCCTATTCCAGTATTTTATCCACATCTCGTAGTAGTCACTGGATTTAGTGTATTTGTAACTTCAAAATGCATTCTGTATCCTGTGTAACCCAGGGTCCTGTTTGTGAAATGCACTGTCTAGAAGATACTGAACGAAGTTTTCTGATTCTTGTGTGATCACAACGTTGGTGACAGCTCTAAAGTGGAAGTTAAATAATTCAAACTGATTTTCTTTATTATAAAATATTGACTACCCCAGTTCAAAAGTAGACCAAGTCATCTGACTTGGAAATAAAGCTTTACTGACACAGAGAAAGCTCTTGGTTTTGTCCTACAGTATGCAAAAAAAAGGCTTAACAGTGGCTGCAAGCAGCTAACTGAGCATATAAAACACCTGAAAGAACAGTGTGTTAAGATGCACTTTTATAAGTTGTGAAGAAAAAAAAAAGAAACTGTGTTCAAGACTGTTAGATAAATGTCACTAAAATGTTGTAAGGTTATTGAGATTATTATTCTTTAATACTGCAGTAAAAGACACTAAAAATTATTTACAGCTCAGTGCTGTGAAGAACTGCCCAAGCAACCCATGAATAAGCAGCCTCAGCCAGATGAAATCATATAGTCATATTAGCAAGTTCAGAAAGCTCACTTGCTCTGCTGAGCAGCCCCTCCACTATTTGCAATATTGTATTTGTGTTTTGGGGAGATACCTCTAATTCATCATAGAGACAGAGAGCAGCACTGTGACATGTCTTCTTGGTTTAGACCCTCTGGATGATTTGAATAACCCTGTTTCTATTAAACATCTCATTTTGGAAGAGTACTTGTCTGGTCCTGATACTTGCTGATCCTTCCCTAGCTGAAATGACGGTGCTCATCTCTCAGAGAGGGCTGTTAGGTGCTCTGTGCAAGGGTGGGTTTCTTGTTGGACCGTGTTGCTTATGTTCTCCTCTCAACTCATAGTATTCAGCAAAGGTGCTACTATTTTTTAACTTTTCTTCTGGTATTCTCCCTGGTGTGGCAGAACCTGTCTAAGGTGTCTAACATACCCCTTAGTGTGTTATCCTGGTGAAGAAGCTTGCACTAAACAACTAGGCTTTGCTGAGAGCTCACCTTGACTCTGATGAAAGTTTCAGTGCTTGCAGATGGTGTCCTGTAAAACTTGGATGTCGTTGTCGAAAAACATGAAAGGGCAAAGAAAAAAAGGCATCTTTTTCTGTCTGTTCTACCCAGTTCCTTTACCAAACAAGAGGTCTGGCTGCATTCATTTTGTGTCACTTCAACTGACACTCAACAGATGCAGAGGTGTTATTTTTATATACATCTTCAAAACCAAGCACAAACAGAACTGTGTGGTGTTCATCAGGTAGAAAATTAGAAATGACATGTCAGTCTCTTACAGGAACTAGATTTTGCAATCCAAGCTGCCCTTGCAGCCTGAGGTGGTGGAGATGAGTGTGCCCAGGTCTCTCTATAGCCCAAAGTAGTCAACAATGCCTGGAGTAAAGATCTCCACGTACTTTATAGCTGGGCCAACAGCCAACCAGCAAAAGTATGTTTTACAGAGCCAGAAATGTTATCAAAGGTGTAAGCTCAAGTACAGCTGTTACCAAGATCTGGCTCTTAATTTGAAATGTTTAGGAAAGATCACTGAAGTCAGCTCTCATGCCATTTTCATTTGCTAATGGAGTAATCAACATCTGCAGAGCATCAGCCACAAAATCTTTCATTCAATGAAAAGTGTGCTCAAAAACTCTCTTGTCTGAGATCTGTAATCTTATTTTAATTAGCAATGCACATGATTACTCCAATCAAAGCAAGTCAGTGGCAAACATTGCCATCTGCATTCATCGTTAACATCAGCCAGCATGATGACAGACTCGTTTTAAGTCAATATGTGGGCTCTGAGGTGCAATGTCTGTTCAAGGACAAAGAATATTGTCTACTTTCTCCTCCTTAACTTTTGAAAGACAACCTTGCTGAATATGGAGAATTTCCAGTTTGGCATTCCCATCAGGAAATGTTTTGCATCAGGGATGTGAGAACCTTGCTTATTCTCTGTAACAGAAGATATTGCCCCTTGTTTTGAGTGACTTAATTATGCCTGGAATCAGGATTGTATGATGTCTGCCCAGCATCCAGCATGGCCAACTGTCTGGTTAGGGGTTTTGAGCTGTTGAACAGCTTCCATGGCAAGGTGCACAATTAATCAGTGAATTTTTAAGACTGTTCAATACGGTGGTGAAACTCTGGCTGCTGCCTGCTGCCAAGGGCAGTGCCCACAGGATGATGTGTTGTGTGCCTGTTTGTATATTCACTGCCATCATCCAGGGATCTGGTGTCATCTGTTGGTTAAGAAGAGGTGTCTAATGACACTTAACTGCTTCTGGATTTATGAGCTTCTTCATCAGATGTCCTCACAGGAGGCTGTACTTGAGAAGCAACACATGACCTAGTACCACTAAGAGTCCTTTATGAATGTAAATATTTAATAAGATAGTCAGGTTTTTAAAATAACTTTTCCACTGCTAAGCCATTAAATTTTTCCAAATGGTACTTGCATTCCAAGAACATTTACCAAAAAAGGAACAAGCATAAGTGAGCTTATGGATTATGTAAAATTGAGCAGTCTTCGTCCTCAGAGAAGGGAATTATCTGAGCATTTCTGAAGATGTTAGTACAAGACTTTAAACTCTTTAAAAGAAGACATATTTCAAGTAGCATTTTTCCTCCTCCTGAACCAGATTTGCCATGCACAATTGGTGGATATGAAAGCTTTAAATTATTTTGCTTGTGCAGTCACAATTTTGATAAATTATTTTAAAGTTCTCCACCTTACGAGAAGTAGCTTTGAGTGGTTTATATCTACCCATAAAACTGCTACAGTCACTTTTTGCAATTACACTAGAATGCACAGCAATTAATTACATCAAATCCTTCTTACAGAAGTGTTTACCAGTGAAAAAGATTGCCATGGCTTTCTTTCTGACAATGAAAGAGTAGGAATTATTAGACACTTCTTGGGATTTAATTGATGTAACATTTCTGCAGCCAGGATTATGATCATATTATTTTCCCTATAGGAAATAAACATCAGTTCTTGACAGGTATGATCTTTAAACAATATTTTACATGTGGAAAATATTCCCAAGTATTTTTCTGTGTAAGAAACCAAGATCTGGATTTTTAGCTAGGTAGCTCCAATGAGTGACCTGCACTTGCTAGGATTCATGTAGAGGGTCTTACTTTCAGAAAAAGGGATGCACCTACCCTGATGTAGGTGCCAGGCATAGGACTGGAAGGCATAGGCTGAAAATTGGTATTGGATTTTGCCAGTTGCTTTCTCTTACAGGAAGAAAAAAAAAAAAAAAAAAAAAAAAGGAAAAGGCTTCTGTAAAAAGTAACTTCACAGTGGAAAGAGTTTTCCTCTAAGTAGGACCTTTCCCCTTGGAAAAGGTTACCTGTGACATAAAATACAATTAATCGATTAATTGTTCAGAAGTACACGTAGCCAGACTGATATAATAACCTGCCTTCATATCTTTGTTTCCTTTCCCAGAGCCATGTTTGACTATGACAAGAGCAAAGACAGTGGCCTCCCAAGCCAAGGACTGAGTTTCAAGTATGGAGACATCCTTCACGTCATCAACGCCTCAGATGATGAATGGTGGCAGGCGAGGAGGGTCACTCTGGAGGGGGACAGTGAGGAGATGGGAGTTATACCCAGCAAGAGGAGGTGAGTGCTGCCTCCTCCTTCTTGCCCTTGGCAGTTATCTTAAAGTATTTCTTTTGGGTTTTTTGCAAAGATGGGGTGCATCAATCTACTGAAAAACTGGGGGCAGTAAAGGAAAATCCCACAGGTATTTCAAGAGTTAGAGGACACAGTTTTTGCTGTAAGATTTAAAGCATTAAGGCTGTTTATAACTGTACTGAAAAGAAACTCAGAAGGTGACTCAGTTACTAGTGACTTCATAAAGAAAGGGGAAAAGAAGAAATCACCATCTACTAAAGAGCTTCAGCAAAAAAAAAGGAATAACCAGAACCTGAGTCTGGGAATTTGCTCTCAATTTGAAGTGGAGCACGTTTTAATGTCAGGGTGATTAGCCATTGCAACAAACTGCTGAAGGATGTAATGAATGGCTTGACATTTTCAAATCAAGACTGTATGTCTTTCTTTTGAGAATGTAATAGCATTAAACTTCTCAGCCTGTGTGATGTAAAATATGGTGCTAAATTATATCATGGTCATCTTTGGCTTCAAAATCTGTTAATTTAATCTCTGCCTGCCTGGAAACTGATGGATAATCAATACCACAGTAAATTTTTCATATAATGTAAATGAAGGCACTTTCATCTTCTATCCAAACTAAATCTGAATCTTTTGTGTCTGTGATGGATTCGTGGTGACTGTCGGAGTGAGAACAGATATCTGAATCTCCCCTGTTGTTTGTATTGTTTATTCTGCCTAGATGCTTTTGTAAAATTGGCCACAAGTCTCTGATAGTATCAGAACTAGCACACAAACCAGTATTACCTCCTGGCTCTGTTGATAGTTGATATAAAAAGGTCAAGAACTGAAAGGGTAGGAGGAAAATTAAATCCATCAAAACATATTACATTTTTCTTTTGCAGCAATGCCGTCATACTGAGTATAAACTTTTTATTCCTAGCTATTTCAGCTTTAGCACTAGTGTAAAAATGAATATGGCCATTTTTTTATAGAGGGAAAATGGGATGCTTGGTGCTCCCTTGAGCATCTGCTGCGGTTTCAAGAGAATTGGCCAAGGTACTAATAGAGCTCATGGTGCTCATTGTTCTAAATCGTGTAAAAGTAAACTAAAAGGCCATCAAATACCTTGTTGACATGAGCCCTGAAAAAACATTACTTTCTCTAATGATCATGTTTGAATAGCATCCACACCTGGTTTTTCAGCTAAGAGCCATTTTGCCATTTGTGTAATAGACAGAAATAAAAGGTTAGGTTGTAAGGTGAGGTTGTAAGTTTCAAAATGGAAAATGTGCCCATTAACCAGACTTAGTCTCTAGATATTGAAAAAGGAATACTTGCCTGCTATTCATTGCTACAGTAAATATTGCTGAAATTACATGATTGGATCACACATGGGAAGAGAGAAGAGTTTATTTAATGCTGTGGTAAGTAAGTGCACAAAGCTCGCTCCTGTGTGGTGCCTACTATGAAAAGGTGCAAAAAGCTGTCATACATATTAAAACAACTACAGAGGAAAAAAGGACAAAGCTACTTAAGATGTGGAATTGTATATCCTGTAAAGTAGAAAGGTGGTGTTTGCCTAATGCTTATTGGGTTACCCACACAATGGTGTTTTCAAGGACAAAAGATAGAGGTTCTCTAGTCAAGGTCAGACATATAAGAGAGCCTAGGAATAAGATGTGGCTTAGGAAACACTGGGAGAAAACAGAATTAAAAAAAAATACTATATGAAAATAGGGTGGTTAAAAGCTAAAAATAAGAGTCTTGAATTTTAAAAGATTCAGGTACAGTTACCATGCTCTCCACTTGTCATCCTTATTCTTCACTAGTGAAGCTGAATGGCCTGGAAAAATCAATGGCATCTGATTTTCTGTCTGCATGAATGCAACGATACACCTGAGCTGGAGTGGGAGGAGGTTGCTGTTATTTTATAAAAGGTTTCAATTGTACAATATTTTTTTCCAATGCACTGAAAAGTGAGGACTGTTTCCTTTCTGTGGGTTCTGGATGATTCCTCAGTGTCTGAGAGTGATTGCTCTTGCCTGCATCTTCTGTGGTCATTTACACCACCCAAGGGGAGGATGAGCAATCAGTGCACACAGGGCTGAGTTACAGAGAGTAAAGCTAATCATACTCACCAGATTGTGCTAATTCAGAGTTCAATTTCCTCTGCAGGTGTGGGTTATTGACTGTAAGAGGCTTAATCTAAAACAGAGTACTCCTGGAATTCATTTGACCAAATATAGGCAGCTACAGTATGGAAATTCTCATTTAAGGTGTTGGCTCCAGGATGCCGTGCCTCTCTTTATATGGGACCATTTCTATAAGGAATGCTTTGTATATAATACAGCATATGTTATATCTAGGGAAGGAAGGAAGGAAGGTAGGTAGGAAGGTAAGAACATCTGTAGCTGTTGGTTGGGCTTGTCCTGCAAGCTAAATTTGCCATGATGTTGTAAATTGAAGAATTTTATATTTGTCCTATATTTTTCAATCTGCAATTTATTTCTGGGGTTTTTTTAGGGTCTTGGGGGCTGTGGGGGATTATACTTGGAAGGGTTTTCTTTTGTTTTTAGATTCCTTTTTCTGCTTGTGGAATGCTATCCTGTGGTAATATTATATTTTGCATTTTGGGTCAGTGAGAGGCTATACAGATCCAGGAATTATTAGTACCAGGTTGAGTCTTTTAGCTGTCTGCTTTACTTCTATTTTACTTCTACTTCCCTTGACTTCTGTCCAGCAATAGCTAAGATACAATTCCTACATTTCCCATAAGTTAAATCATTATGGAATAACTCTGAAATTTTATATATATAAAATTATATATATATAATAGCATTTCAATTTTATATATATAATATATGTGTGTACATATATATATGTATACAAATATATGTCTGTCTAGATGTGTGTATAAATATATATGTATATAAACAGACATATTTCTTCTCTGAGATGCTGTGTAATGGTAATTGCTGTAATTGCTTTCCATGTGTTTAGGTCTTTTATTTTTTTACAGAAGAGCCTCTATCATGCAATGACATTTTAGCATGAGCTGATTAGAGAAACTGGGAATGATTAATCAAGACTCCTTACTCTTCTTCTCCTCTATGACTTATGTGCTATACCAGCAAAAAAAAATCATAATTTAGAATTATAGGGGAGCTGCCACTCATTAGGTCTTTTATTATTTTACAGAAGAGCCTCTATCATACAATGATATTTTAGCATGAGCTGATTAGAGAAATTGGGAATGATTAATCAAGACTCCTTACTCTTCTTCTCCTCTATGACTTATGTGCTATACCAGCAAAAAAAATCATAATTTAGAATTATAGGGGAGCTGCCACTCATTAGCCTCTCCAGGTTTTTGGATGCATTACCTCTTAATGATTTAATAGAGTTTGAAAGCTTTTTTGTCATTAGATTTCAGTGCTTCTCCCAACATGTGGATTTGTTGCCTTGTTTATAGTTAAATAGCCAGTCAGGCTTTAAGAGAGAGTTTTAGAGAGCAGCACTGCAGCTGGAGGTGTGTTACTGAAAGAAGCAGCCCAAAGAAGCGAGGGTGGCCCCAAGTTTCTCCACTGATACATGCAAGGACTAAATCTCATGGAGCAGTGAGCCAATGACCTCTGTGGAGATTAAAGAAAATTAAATCCTAAGTATACTGTAGTTCTTAAATATAATTGCAACCAGTTCTACACCTGGAAGCAACATTTTGTTCATTTGTCAGTGTGTATTTATTGTCTGACTATAGCTGTTGTTCTCCACCACAGGACTGCATAGCTAGCTGGGTAGAAACCAAACACAGTGATACACAGTTGTGGTATTACATCATGTTGGTGTTGGGAAGCACAGGACTTCAGCATGAGAGGCTGCAAACCACTTCAGTTGTGGTTTAACCATCAACAGATAGTTATTATATAGTGTTAATTAATCAACATTTCAGGCCAAATTTCTACTGGTTTCATATCTGCCCAAAAGATGTATCCAAGCTATGTTCAAGGTGACAGCACAATTCTGTCAGGCAGAGTCTCCAAGGTGAGGGGACATAACCACCAGCCCTGTACCAATGTCTCAGGCAGCCTGCAGTATTGCCTGGGCACTATGGCTACATGTGTGAAGTGCTCCCTTATCATCCAAAATTGCTATTTATACTAGAATGACCAACAGAATTAGATTTACACTGCATTTTTTTTTACATTTGGATAGATAGATAGATTGATTGATTTAGATTAGAGTTTCCACATATCTGTGCTTTTGATCATGAGAATTTTTATTTGCCTCATTTCCCTTCATATTATCCATTTAAAATAAAAAATCAGCTTCCTATAAAAGAGCAGCAGCAAGCTGAGCAGTCCATGTCCATGATTCCTTCCCTATGGAAACACATTAGTTAAAAGGAATTTTAAAAATGCATTAAACCAATATGCATACATAAGACTGTATTTCATTCCTAGACAGATGCACTGATTCAATAGTAAATAGGTTTTAATTTGCTGTAGCATTGATTTTACACCTCCAGTTCTTTTCACTTTTTCCTTGCTGAGTCTCTGCACAGGGACAAGCTCCTACATTGCAAGCCCTCCACAATAGCAACCTCCCACCTCATGAATGTCAAGCCTCGGTATTTTCTGTGGTGTGTGTGTATATCTGCTTGACTCGAGTCTGTGGGTCTGGAATGCAGCCTGGGATGTCACACAGATTGCCCCAGAATGGCTGAGCATGAATTCTCACCACTTTTACTACTGCTCCCTCTGCAGCCAACAAGGATTTGGCCTTAAAACACTGAAATAATCTAATCTTTCTGTTGTCCTTCAGATGTGCAGTCACAAAACTGCTGTCAGACTGGACATCATGCTAAGATACCCACTTTCAGGTAGTTTAGGTACATCTGACTGCCAAATGTTATGCAACTTGTATCTCTGTCATTACCAGCTGTAATAATAGCAGCCTGATACTTGTGTTCTCACAGAGACAGCATTCTCCCCACAAGTACGTGTAGCCATACTCTCCTGTCAGAGCAAAGTGGGGGGGGGGGGGAAGTACATCAAGCCCAATGTTTTGCAAGCATTTAAGGACAAGAAACAAGAGGTTTTCCCAGCACAGAAGTCCCTGTGGGTGAAAAGCCAACTTAAATTTGTTGTTCTGCTCAGCTTGGCAGAAGGGCATGTTTATTCACTCAAATGATTTTTATTTTTAATGGTTTCCTATAAATCATCCACCTTTCTAAATTACGCTTAACATTTTAATCCTTAGATGATAAAACTTTTTAACATCAGCTAAGCTTTGTCTAAGATAATTTGTCTGTCTATACTCAGTAATCCAATTGGGAAAATTTAATATGGAATGAAATTTGTATGTACATGTAAGTGTAAACTTCTTCCTGTGCTCTTGCAATGAAGTGAAACTTCTGTGCTGATGGAAAACAGCTGTTAGCTTTTAAACAGAATAAGGTTGTGCTACAATTTTATGAGAAGTCACTTCCTAATGACATTAGGTCTCCTTTTCATAAATATTGACCAGATGCTGAGCTGTTTTCTATAAGCAAGCCACTGCAGATGGAGAGCTGAACCAGAGCACATTCCCTCCTACTGAAAAATGCATGTTCGGTGCAAAAATGCCACTTCAGGAATGCTCCAAAATAACTTTGAGAATGGGGATCTCTTGGTAAGCTCAGATCTCACATCTCACAGAGGATGGAAGCAATAAAAAGCTATGAACTGAGACCACATATTTGAATTATAAATGGTGCATGCATATTTTCACTTATCTTTCACTTGATAGGCTGGCAAACGAAGATAGTGCAGGTGACCTGGAAATGGTGAAGCAAGACAAGAGACATAGCGAGGTTTTTCAAGTATCCATTTTACATTGCTTTCTTGTATTTCCTAATTCCTCACTACAGTACTCATGCTGGATTTGGAAACAACTTTCATCCTGCAAAATACCTCAGTGCCAAATATGTGCAAATTAGGCTACTGTTACCACTCATTGTAGAAACAAGTTTGCAATTTGCATCTGTGTTCTACATCATCTGTTATTGAAGATTAAAGCATTTCTCACTTGATATTCTATCTCAACACTGTGAAGACTGATTAGTGCTTTTAGGAAAGCACTGACAAGACTCCCAGGGGTCCAGCACTGTGTGATCATGGTTCATGTCTTGTTGAGTTATACTTGGTTTTGTTCTTGTTTGCAGCATTTATGAAATACTGAAAGTTTCATTTTGAGAAATCCCACTAGCCCTTTTTCAACAGCTATGCGTGTCCAGACACACAAAAGCAGACAGGCATTGCAGTGTAGTGAGTGTTGCATCCCATTAATAAGTTCCTCAGAAGAGTAAGAAGAGAACAGTATCCTAAAGAACTCAAATCTTGAACTTACTAGTGAGGGAACACCGAAGGCTGAAGTATATTTTCACTTCTCTGGCTTTATTCTCTGGCTTTGCATGACAAGGAGTGAATCCTGACCATTTCTGAAATAAAAAGGCCAAGAGGTATCTACCACCAGGAATGTTTTTAAGAGAAAGTGAGTATATAGAGTATACTCCAACTGTCCCAGATCTCGGATGATCTTAGATAATTTCCCTGTACACAGCAGTGTTTCTGCACACAGCTATACTTGGAGAGTGGGTGGGAAAATGGAGGTGAAATCCCCCTAGGTTGTGCAAGGGTGATGCTGTCTACACATAGAACTCAGAGCTTTTCAGCTCCAGTCATGTTTGAATGTTGGATATATGTTTCTTTGAACATTTCTTGAAACCTGTTTGAGTTTCAGTGACCCCTCAGGCACTTTTGAAAATGGGACTGAGCCATTAAGTTGTTCTGGAAATCATAGCCATGCATTCCTTATCCCTTAAGCATAGCTCTGTCAGGCAAATATATAATTAGCAAAGGTCATGGCAGCAGTGTGTACATCAGGCAAGTCAGACTTGCAAGTCTGGGCCCTGCAAATCTGGGAGATAGGAGTCCTCCCCTTCACTTCATGTTTTTGCATAACTCCCCATAATCCTGCTTTGTCCAGCAGTGCTTATAGAAAATTGGTTACCATATTAAGTGAAACGTTTCCTTCTTAAAAGCAATTTCTTCAGCTGATGGATCAAAATGTTCGAATGATGGTCAGCTGCTGTCAGCCAAACCAATGTAAGTAATTTACACCCATATGCAATTTAGACATTCACAGTGTCAGGTGCTGCAAATGACCTTTTGGATCTAAACTCCTTTCTTCCTGGGGAAAAAAAGACAACCAAGTTTCTTTTTCCTTAAATATAAAAACCTGCAAAAAAGTGGTAAAAATGTTCAATTTAGTGTTCCTTTAACAAGTACTTTTTCTAAGAGCTAGACCAACAAATCTAAAAGAACAGTTATTAAAAATTTTGTGTCTTCATCATCAGCTTAGTTCCCTTTTTAGCTCTGTCTATGGCAAAAATGTCCCAATAGCTCAGATGAGAAATCCTAAGAACACCTTAGTTCACTGAAGTCCTGCACCCTGACCATTTCAACAAAGACTGAATCTTTGGAGAACCAAACCTAAATTCCAGAAGTTCTCCAGAGCATGCAAAACTAAAGCTTTTCAGAAATTTAGGTTCATTCCTTCAGGAAAAAGAGAGGTATATTCCTAACACCAGAGCAACACACTGTGACAATGGAAATTCAGACCAAAGACATAAAAGCACAGTAGAGCACCTGAGCTGAAGAACTTAAAGATTATGTTATAAATTGGGCAAACCCATTTATTTTGTCCTTGCCTCCTTCTAACAGCTGACCCATTTTACTGACAGTTCAGGCAGCAACAATAATGTAGTCAGCCTGAGACACAGAACATTTCAGCTTGTAATTTTACATTTCAGCTAAATTATAAGTAACTGACAACAGTTTTATTGTGGAAGGTGTCATGCAAATTGTAATGGGAGGCAACATTGTGTGCTACCCTTAATCCAGTGCCAGATGATGAAATGTTTGGAACATTCAGTAGGCATGCAGAGCATATATGAAGATTGTTGTTATGTTTGCCTGAAGGACTAATGGCACTTAATGGCATTACTTAAATACTTCTCAGAGCAATGCAGAATGTTTCTGCAGCTCCTCATCTGTCTGCTATGCCTCTAGAAATGCCTCCACAACTGCTAAAGCAATTATGACAAACTTCATAAATAAGATTCACTCTTCAGGATTAATTTCCAAAATTTTTTTATGCAGTGAATAAGAAATTAAGTTAAAAGCAGATGTTTTAGGAAGTTAGGCAGGGCCAGAATGAGTTTAAATGTTAACACAGATTAATAAGTAGAATATTGTGTTCATTTGTGCTAATTATTTCCTCAGAAGGCATCCATCCTATTTAGGCAATTACACAGCCTCAATCCTATTTAGGCAATTACATAGCCTCGAGTCTTCATTTCTTACCAGTACTACCAAGGGACTTCATCTGCTAGCTCAAGTTTGAGACTGTTCACGTGTTTTTAATAACATAGATTTAGTTTGAAAGATGCACTTGAGCTGTTTCCATGTGAATATTCCACACTTACACAGAAATGCATTTAATCTAAATTTAAACGGTAGCTATAGTAACCAACATTCACTGTGCTTCAGGAGGGCATATATGAGCCTACACAGACAGAAGGAAACATGTTGTGTTAATTATCATTCTATCAAAACTCTAGAATTTGTATTTTGGCAAATAATTATCAGAAATTATGAATTCCTACTACCCAGGCTTAGAAAGCAGGAGATTTGCAGGCATGTATTCTAATGTCTCCTGAGCTAGCTTTGCGGAACTCGATGGAGATTTCCTACAGCAATCCCCTACCGTAACAAACAGGGTTAGCGTTTCACTTTCAGGTAGATAATCAGATTTTTTACTTGAGCCAGTCAATGATAGATTCTGTAGATGATTTTGCAAAGGTAGGTAACATCACTTTTTCAGTAATGTTCATATTAATCAAGGTGAGTAAAGACATGTCCTTGTTTCATTTCTCTGACCATAGAACTCTAAATGTTGCAAAATTTTTGAACAGCTTAAATCAGAGAGAGTAAATCTGTCCCCAGCATGCTTTTCCCAGTCTCCCTTGTCTGTTGAGAGGCAGTGCTGTTCTGCTGGTGTGGGGCAGCCAAGACTCCTCAAACCCAGTCCTGCATTTGCCAGAAAACTGCTGCCTGCTGAGGAAGTGACCTCTCCTTTTCCACGTATGAAATCTGCTTTACATGTTTACTTTTGGTATAGTAAGCTGCCAGTGGTCTTGGGAGAGCAGCTTCAAATATTTCATGCAAAATGCTGCTAAAATCAGCGTGTGTTTCTTCAATTGTGTTTTCTTTTCCCCAGAGTTGAAAGAAAGGAGCGTGCCCGTTTGAAGACGGTGAAATTCAACGCGAAACCCGGTGTAATTGATGCAAAAGGGGTACGTAAATACTGAAACCTTTTGAAATTGCACTTTAAAATTGTTTTATCTGGAGTAGAAAAAATTCTAGCAACATAAGGAATATTTAGGTTGTTGCAGCCAAGACCTGCAGTATAGTGAAACGTAGATCAGAGATTAGTATAATATAATCTTTTAAATAATTAAGTATTCTTTTTATAATAATACTGAATGAAAGTGCCTCCTAAGGGGAGGATACTAAGAAAACAAAGAGCATTCTGTGATAGCTGTGATTTTAGTCAAATAATGGATAGAGAAGACTTTAAAAATTAATGGAGATGGATAGCAGTTTAATGAAATAGTACCAGAAGTGTAAATTCCATGGCTTCAAAAGCTGTTAAATCACAAACCAAAGGTTGTAAGTTAAGGAGTCCTGGATTAAAAAAAATTAGGTTTTGTGTGTTCTGCTTTGACAGTTGTGACAGACATTGAACACAGGTGTGTTTCACACCAGACACAATGGCCAAACACAAAATGTGCAAGTTCCATTCCAGCAGTGATGCCTGGACAGAACAGGGCTCCTGCTGCTGCTACTTCACAGAGCTGCTTTATTGTGCCCAGGTCAGCAGTTCTCGTTAGCCTGATGGCTCCTATCCTGTCTGGTGCCATCTGGCTGGCAAGTTTTACAGCAGGAGAAATGCCCACAGCCCTGGCTGTTAAGGTATATTTTTCTGCTGAAGTGTAGCTTGCAGTTGTAGCAGTAGTGAATACTTGACATTTGCAGGGATTTATTTTTGAAACCCATCCAGTTGGCATGTTTGGAATTTACAACAGAGGGCTTCTGTGAGCAAACAAGGAGACAGAGATTCAGCAGCCATGAGGGAAAAGTCCTGCTTGGCTGCAGAAAACAGAGCAGGGCCAAAACTGTGATGAGTGAACACAACCATAGGTAGGTGCTAGCAAGGGAAATAACCAAGTGGTTCAGCAGGTCCCTTCCAGACCTGCTGTTCCTGTGGTCTTCTGCCTAGTTTGAAATTGTCATTCTTAATCTCTTCTTCCTTCAGTTTCCCTCCATAATGGTAATACTAGTAATTTCCTTATTCAGTCTTTTCAGACAGATTAGCAGGGTAAGAAATTCCTCTTCCTGTGGACACAGAGTTCCTAGCACAGGGGTTCCTAAGTCTCTACATGCCAGCAAAATAGTACTTCACACTTGAAAATACTTCCCTGTCACTGCTCTACAGAACAATTCCTGAATTCAGTGCACATGTAGAATTATTGTTTGAATACTGACTGAAATATTGTTGAATATTGACTGAAACAAGTTTTCCAGACTTATAAGGCACATGGAACTGTGCATTACTTGCAGTTGCAGACAAGTCAGTAAAAAATACATAATAAAGTGCACTAAGAAAAGACTGATTCATCTCATAACATTTCTTTAGAAGTCAGAATTCCATTTTTTAGTTTGAAATGACCACTCTCTGCAACCTTATATATTAATGTTGCCACTTATTTTGAGAGATAATAAGTTTTATATTGCCAGTGAAATCACTTCTTAAATGTCTATTTCCCATATATAATCACAGCCGCAGGGGAATAATTCATTCATACAACTAATGATCCATTTTCAAGTGATTCTGTCAAGAATTTAATTACCTCTTGATTCCCCACATTGTTTTTCCATTTTTTGTCGTCAGTGTAACATTAATCTTCCAGCCACTCAACATCAGTGTTTGATTCAGTGTTTAGGAAATTGTGTAATTACAGGGCAAGACCACTGCAGCCTTTTGGGACCAAATCCTCCACATGAAATGAGATATTCAAGTACACACATATGTATGTGGATTAAAGGTCTTTAAAGGTCCAAAGCCATTTGGTCTTTCAGTGTCCAAAAATAAGTGGTGTAAAATGTTTAAAAGTCCACACTTTACATTTTTACTTTTTTTTTTCAACTTTGGAAGACATTTAGCCCAGGTAAACAGGGCTGCAGTAGGCCTAGGAAAATTATTTTGTCTCAAAATCAAGTTAAAATTCCAAAAGGAATGAGTTTATGTGGGTCTGTGGCTTCTTTGGCTCATACATTCATGACTGTGTGGGCAAGTGTAAATGTCTTAGTTTACTCTAAAGATGAAACTGAGAGAAATCTTTTCATGGAATATTTTTAAATTTGGCCAGGAGATGTGCATGGAAACATTTAAAAAATAATAAAAAAAAAAAAAAAACACAACCAAAACAGCAATAATTAAAAAAAAAAAACCTGAAAAATAAAATTAAAAAAAACTTTAACTGAATGCAGAGAATCCTTGGGAGTTTTGAACAGGTAAAGCTGTACCTTACTTCAATTTTACTTGAATCATCTCACTAGCCCTTCCTCTGTAGAATCAATGTTCAAGAGCTAATAATCCACAGCAAAGGTTTCCTGAGATAATACCAGAATTTCTTTGAGATTTTGAAAATCTGTGATTTTGAAGTAGAAACTGCCTAGTTATTCTATGGGTTTATAAAGTCTTATGCATTTTCATCTGTTTGTGCCTCATTTTTAATCCCATATCTGGAGATTAGATGCAAAGACAGTGTTACAGATAGGGTGACATTTGTAGTTGATCAGCTCCTTGTGTCTCACTAAGAAGGTGTTTAAGAATGCTTAGCAATATGGTTGACAAACCTGTTTGTAGGAAGAGTTAAAGGATATTCTTTCCAAAGGCCCAAAATTCCTCTTTTTCAGACCAAACTTGTATGTTACTTCCTCTATAAAATTAATTCAACACTTAAAAATGTGATTTAGAATATTTATATAACTTTAGATTTGTTTCATTGGACTCCTCCAATCCATGCCTTGTGAAATTAAAGTCTACAAAATCAGGATGGATACAGAAACAGGGAATGTGAATCAAAATTAGGGAGCTCTAGGGAAACCTTCTGGTCTCAAGTTTAAATAAGGCCATGGATAGTACCTTTGCATGCAATGCATAATTAAATTCCCATGCTCATTATTACAAGATATTGCATAAAAAATAAGTTGAAAAAGAATTAGGTAGGTTAGCAAGTATCAAAACCAATGACAACTTTAAAACTTTTGTCATGTAACTCAGAATATATTAATTGTTGATTTCAAGAAGAGATGTTATAAAAGGGAAAGGATCATATTACTTCTACTTTTCCTTTTAAACATCTGTTATTGGACAGTGCCAAAAAGCTACTTGGCTAACTGGATCTCTGGCTTCACCCAATAAGGCTGCTTTTCTTTCATGTTCTGTTTATTCTGACCCAGAGAAATTTATTTGTTCAGGCTCAGGAACATCACCAGGATCCAGGCCCCATTATCACTTTTGAAGGTATCAGACCAGTTTAGAGAGGTTAACATCTATGTAGTAAGGAAAAGAATACAAATACATTTATAAACAGCTTCATTTCACCAAGCAAATGGCAAATGCTTCTATTTATATATATATATATAAAATGCTTCTATTGTGTTGACCAAGTTCAGCCTCTATCTTCATTCTTATAATTGTTGTAGTAAACTTCAGCATTTTTTCTAGTTGTTACTGAAGGTGGCTGGTGCATCAAATCCACCACTACACTGCTTTGGTTCCCTACAGCCACTCTCTGCTGCAGCAAAGGACAGGGTTTCCAGGACACTGGAAATGTTAAAAAACATTTGTAAATTCAGACAGCACAGTTATGATTTCCTAAGCATTTGTTTTCTCAGTCTTTGAGGCTCACTGGTCTATGGATAATCAATGGAAATTGGAGCAGCCCAAAAATTTATGTCTGATATTTTTGCTGGAGGAAGCCAAAGAAGTTATGTAAGCACAAACTTCATTAAAAAGCATGTTTTATGCTATGTTGAACTCAAGATCATATCTCAAGTATCTTCTGATGCTCACCTTTGCACCAAAAGGAGCAGAGCATGTGAGTAGCTGTGAACAGGGTCATGGATCTACCAAAACACCATACTGAGTGCTTGGTAACTCTCCCTACCACAGGCTTCAGACTGAACAAAAATAGCCTTTCCTTTTCTAATCCTAAAACCCGCAGTTGTTGAGGGCTTTTCAGATTTTTTAGTGAATCAAACAGTGTCAAGTGACAGAAATATTGCAGGGGGAAAGAGATTAGCCAGTAATCTGCTTTTTTCTTGACTGTTGTAATTACAACAGGTCTTTCCGGAGACAAAAATAGCACCTTTTGCTTTTCTCCCTGTCAGATCACACACACTGCCTTGACTGTCTCTTGAAAATATTCTGCAGTTGAAATCATAGCTCTTGGAAAGACTTTTAGCAACACCTCAGTTTTACTAATATGTATGGGTGTTGCCTGTTTCCAGAGATGTGTTGAAATATCAGCAAAAATTTATATAGAACTTAATTTTATGCAGAGAACTGGTTTTTTGTACCACATGCCTTTTCATTTCACACCTTATCTGGCCAGTGACTCCAGAATATTTTCTTATATACAAATACTCTATTTCATTTCGCAATGAAATGAAAGTGATGTCTCCCACAATTTCCATTTTTAATGTGTGTGTCAGAGTGTGGGGAGACATTCAGCCTGTGTTTACTGGAAGCATTCCCAGATGGGTGCCTGCCCTAGTGAGGATGCAAGGATGAGGTGCCTGCCAAGAAAAGGGTCTGCCCCATCCTTCCAAAACCCCTTCCAGCTCTGCTGCTCATCAGGCGGTCCTGGGCTGTGACCCACAGCACACTGCTCCATCACTGCCAATGAGGGTTTTTTCTATTGACTTAGCTTGTCATCCACAGATCTGTTCAGATTGCAGTCAGATCACCCACATCACACTCAGCCACCTCTTCAGTTGCCTCCAATTGAATTTATTACGACAGTCAGAAGTTTGATAGCATTTAATAATATTTCTTATGTGCAGATTCTGTTTCCAGATCCCACAGATACCTGAAATTTAAGGTCATCTTCTTGTTTTATTGTCATTTTAGCAACATTGCACTGAGGCAGGAAAAGAAAAAGTGAAACCTGACTGAGATAGAGAATTTGGTATTGTGGGGTAAACAAAAGCCTCTGCATATTTA